GGGGGGGGGGGGGGGGGGGGGGGGGGGGGGGGGGGGGGGGGGGGGGGGGGTGAGCTTGCGAAGACCGCTTGTCCCTTCTGAAGCCCCTTTTCGAGGGGTCCAGTTTCTGTTGCGGCTGTCCTGACAACTAGTCTACTTCGTTGCACATGAAATACTTGTGACGCGGGCAGAGTTAGACGAACAAGCGATCTTCGACGTTGCTGACCTTTTCACGTGCCCACTACAATGTTGCGCCCTACGCAATCAATCTACGAAGTATATGGCTACGCCGTCGCGACTGCACGAGAGTGCCACCGCTACCGAAAGGAGCGCGTCCTGCCATATCTCCAAGCCCTCAGTCAGCGAAGGCTTCTTAAGCATGCATCGTCAAATGTCTCGGCGGCATTTAGACGCTTCTCTCTAGACTATCTGGGTACAATGTAGTCTGACCGTTATGGTTGGTATTATTTTCTGTTTTTTGTTTTAGTGATGGCGCGACGGCCAGGTTCTCCGAGCATCCAGGTAGAAAAACTCCGGTGTGTTGCTAGATCCAAGGCTGCACAATTTCCTACGAAAATGAAAGCCCAACACACACATGTCGCAAATAGTACCATACGAATGTCACCGGCCGTCTTCGAGCGCACCAACTGTCTAGGCTCGAGGCATTTTTGAAATGATTGTCAGGAGAACAATTGCTTGCTTCCGATAGCCTAGCGCATATCTGAGCACGCCTTCGGCGTGCTTGATCCGCCAGAGTTCACTATATAGAGAACTGAGTGTCATTTGGTGTGTCAACTACTGGACCCAAGGGACACTTCACTGGACCAGGAGGATCGGCGGGGGCACGCAGCTGTCAGTAGTCCCACCCCCCACTATCTCTCTGTCTTAGCCCCCGTGGCTCTTGGGTCTGTCGTTGCATGATGATGGCCCTGTAGTGTAGCGCGTCTTCTCTGTCCCTGGATCGAGAGACTGAGAAAGACACGACTGGGAGAGGGCAAAGGGAGAGAGAGAGAGGGAAAAAGCAACGAGATAGACGGATTGAGGTGTGCTGCGCTGCTAGTCGCGGCAGTCATTTGTAAGTCTCTTGGGGTGGTCTCTTGAGCGACAACAGGCGCAAGGAGGGAGAGGGAGGGGGGCCAGGCGACAACACCCAGGTGGGTGCTACATAGCTTGTGCATCTCTGCTGCCTTTCCCTGAACCGCTTGGTGGGGGCCAGGTGGGTGGGGGCTGGGGGTGGGG